TAAGGAAAAAGTATTACTTAGTATAAGAAGTCTCCAGCCCTGACTGGGTGGCTTGGTTGCTTGGAGTGTTGTCCATACACCACAAGGTTGCTGGTTTGATTCCTGGCTAGATTGTGGGTTTCACCTCCAGTCATGATGCCTATGGGAGGCAACCAATTGATGTTTCTCTCTCACATTGATGTTTCTCTCTCTCTAAAATCAATAAAACAGATCCTCAGGTGAGGATTAAAAAAAAAACCCAAAGAAGTTGGCCCCAAATAAGAGAACATGATTAAGTCAACAGCACAATGGTGCTATTAAAGACCCGGATTTCTTCTCTGATCTTGCTCTCTTACCCTCAGACTGGCAGCCAGGACTTCACAGCAGTAGGTGGGTAGCCAGCACTGTTCTAGGTTGTTATATGCAGATATGTGACAGAACAAGAAGAGTGTCTTTTTCTTGTGTTTCTCTTAAAAAATGATGCACTCTTTTTTATGAGCCTCCTTTTAACATTGATGTATCTAATGGACCTGCATTTTCTATGTGAACCCAGAATAAATCCAGTCACCCTTTTCAAAAAGGAAAAATAACAATACCTGATTGTTAAAAACCTCTCATTTGTTTACTCTTAGCTATAAGTAGCCACTGGATGGAGTCACTAGGACTGCATTGCAATGAATAGGATTGAAGGATGCAATTGGTCAGCATCACACAAAGATGGATATTGAAACAAAATCAGTTTCTAGATCTTGAGCAGGAAATAATCTGTTAAGATGGTGACAAAAAATTGGGTGTACAGACATGTCTGACTTCAGAGTCTGCACTCCTAACTACTTACATTCAATAAACGAAATTTCAAATAAATCATTAAAAACACATGATATAATATACAGATGATGTATTATAGAATTGCATATCTGAAACTTGCATAATTTTATTAACCAATGTCACCCCAATAAATTCAAGTAAAAAAAGGAAATGCCAAAAAATATGTTTCAAAACTAAACTCTGCTTTATTAATTTCTAAAGGTAAAGAGAATTTCACAAGTAATATTTCCTGCATGGGTAGGATTACTTTATCATTTCTTCCAACATCTTTGAGGTGGTCGAATCTAACCAGGTATTATACTAGCACTAGAGGCCAGGTGCATGAAATTCGTGCACAGGTCCCCTCAGTCCAACCTGCACCCTCTCCAATCTGGGACCCCTCGGGAGATGTCCCACTGCCAGTTTAGGCCCGATCCCTGGGATGAATAGGATTGAAGTATGGGATCGGGCCTAAACCGGCAGTCAGGCATCCCTCTCACAATCCTGGACTGCTGGCTCCTAAGCACTCACCTGCCTGCCTGCCTAGTTGCCTCTAACTGTCCCCCCTGCCAACCTGGTCACCCTATCTTCCCCTCTGCTGGCCTGGTTGCCCCCAACTGCGCCCCCCCCCAGCCTAGTCGCCCTTCACTGCCCCTCCCCACCGCTGGCCTGGTTGCCCCCTGCCGGCCTGGTCTCCCCTAACTGCCCTCCCTGCTGGCCTGGCCATCCCCAACTGTCCCCCTGCTGACCTGGTAGCCCCTAATTGCTCCCCCTGCAGGCCTGGTCACCCCTCATAACCCTCCCACCAGCCTGATTGCCCCACGCAGCCTGCTTGTTCAGTCGTTTGGTCATCCTTCACTCCCCCCCCTTCCAGCCTGGTTGTAGGCAGCCATCTTGTGAAGGTGTGATGGTCAAATTGCATATTACCTATTTATTATATAGGATGAGTGTCCTTGTGTGTCAATGTGTATTCTATAGGCTGTTCATTCATGTATATAAAATAGGTAGATGATCGCATTGACTGGCACATATTCACCTTAATGTTAATGCAAATATTCTTATATAATTATTATAAAGGTAAAGAATGACACAACTAAATTTCACTCTAATTGAAAATAGCATTGATTACACAGAAATTTATTTAAAATAAACAAATAAAGACTAACATTCAAGAGCATTAAATTTGAAAGCAGCTGTACAACAAATTGAGAACATATTCATGAATGAAAATGAAGTTCTTACTAAAGTGCGTTTTTTCCAACAATGACAAAAATTAAGCTCCAGCAAATGCATTCACACTTCTCTTTTTAATGTCTATTAAGAAAGAAATCAGCCTTGCCACTGACATTATTTTTTGTACAGGAAATGACCAGAGTTGTATAATTTTAAAAGCATATGCTTATTTTGCAGTTAAGTTTACAAATGGTTAGCGTTTAGCCTTCAAAATCAAGTTTCATTGTAACTATAATAACCATTGATTGCATATCTATTTCTACCAGACAACAACATGATTTTTTTTTTCTGAAATGAAACTATTTTTTATATTCTGAGTACTTTAGAAGCCATTTTTACCCAGATCTGTTTTTAGGTACTTCTGCTTATCTAGAAAAACTGTCTCTGTGCTTGAGTGATACAACTCGTATGAAAGGCAATCTTTTCCTCAAAGAAAGGGGTTTACAAGGGATTTCCCCAAACCGCTAGTTCTTCATAGTATTATTAAGCCAGAAGTTAAACTTCTTAAATATTGGTGAAGTTGTCAGTATAAGAAGCAAGCATTCAAAGAGTGGATGTTTATTTTTTGCTGAGGTTTAGTGCCTTGGATAACTTAAATTCTTTTCAAATGTACCCTCGCACATTCCTCACTGCCCACTCCTGGGTGAATGGGACAAGGAACATGGTATCTCAATTTGTTAATAAAATTTGGTATAGCTATGTTACAGGAGAATGCTGTACATTCCAGTTGAGAAAAAGAAGTGGGTAAAAAATAGCAAAATACTGACAGAGAACTCTGTGGCTCAGGTATGGCAGCTTTTCCTCCCATGAATAAACTTGTGGTTTGGTGTATAATTCAGTAAATAAACATGCTATTTGTTTAACAGAATTTCAGTTGAATTACCGTCAAACCATTTCCTCCACAGGAAACAGATCTTTAATTTATGGAATAATAACTTCCTCTTGTTCTTCTAATAAGAAATTCAAAAGCAGATGGATGCCTCTTAGTTTTCTACCTGTCTTCAGAGAAATTATGTGATCATCATGGAGGACATGCAAATGGCACAGTCTGCTTGCCCCATGTCTGGTCAGGGGAGGCCTCTGTGCTGCCTTTTGGGGAGGAAACACTAGCTCTCTCTGTGTTCAGAGTTGCCCACTGCTTGACCCAAGGTGGGCTACATGTTGTAAAATGGCCTGCATGTGGGTGGTCAGTGGCTCCCTCTTGAGAGGGTCGACAATGATGTTCTTGGCCCAACAGAGCGACAAAGGCAGAGGGAATTCTCTAAAGCAATTAATTATTCCCCTTCTCTTCAGAACGTTTACAACAGAATATGGAGACCAATGGCCAGTCATCAATGGAAGAAGGTTGACTCCCAGAAAGACGCAGTGGCTATGAGCAGGTGTTCTGAGTGAAAGAAGAGAGAGAGAGAGAGCAACTGATTTCTAGCACTGCCTTGAATTCTTTTATTTCTATGTTTTTGGGTAATATTAACACACACATATAATTTGAGTGAGTTTCAGTTACTTTCAGTCAGAAGGCTTTAATATAATTCCAAAACTAGTGCTTTTTAAAAATTGGAACACTATGTGATTGACATGGAAATAAGAGCTGTGACAAAAGACTTGTATTGTGTGATATCTGACCAAAAGAGTTTGCAGTCTCTCATAGAAGACTTCCACTTGAGAGATTAGAGAACAGCACATTTGGAGGACCAAGGTAATGATTAGAATAATTTATTATTTTTGTAAAGTCATTGAAAAAGATCTTGGGACTTGTGGACACGAAGGGAACAATAATAATCCCAGTAGGTAAAAATGAGTAAGTCGGCTGAAATCACACTTATCGAGACAACGAGGAAACATGGGAGGGTAGCTTGGTGACACTTGGTAAAGGTGAAGATGTGCCTACTCTTCAGCAGCTGTTTGCTTGGGAAACTCTTGCAGACGTTACAAGTGCTCTATTGTGGGACTTTGTAATGTAACGTATTTCATGGAATGGGTGAATGAAAGAAACATCTCATGTCACGACAATGGCAATGAGTAAAAATGAATGAAAAATGGAAGCATATGAAATGTAGTTTGTTCTACATTTTGGTAAACTTCACTACAAATTCCAGGGACAGCTATCATCCCATTTAACAGAGAGGTTGCACTTTTGAACCCTGGCTCTGGAGCCCTTACTTACCTTCACTGAAATTACTTTTGTAACTGTCTTTTTGAAGATGACATAGACATGTGTGGTGAGATAGAGCTAATGCTTTGCAGTCTTAGCACCCAGTTGTGCCTCACCAGGCCTTGGCAAGTGCTTGGTAACTCAGTTATTGAAGTGTGAGCTCCTTACAGGATATGTAGGTGCTGGAGACAAAGCAACCAGAAACTAGAGAATGTCCAGGTAGACACCTCAGGATGGGTGTCCTTGCCACAACACCAAGCCTAACAATAGAGATTTGAAACTAAAGTGACCCTGGTTTGAATAGGTCACTTGGTAAACCTGTTAGACTGGGGCAGAGGCAGCCTAATGTGGACTAGTACATAAGGTGCTATAGGGAAAGAGCAATGAATGGTGGGACTGAGGCATTGGGAGCTGGAAGTAAGGCCAATTCTCCTTCAAGACAGGGGTACTAGAAGCTCCAGATGTGGGAACAGCAGAGGTGGGCACCTCCTCAGGGCAAGCTGTCCTGTGGGTAACTGACTTCCTAGCAGTGAGTCCCAGAGGTAAAAGATGACGCAGGCTTCCCTTTAAAATGTATTCCCCCTCCTGTAAAGAACCCTCCTCAAATCTAATCAACAGGCGTACACATTTCAGTCACATCCTTCTTATTACTTTGCTAAGATAATAATAGAAAGATTGCTCCCCAGCGGACTCCTATGCTCCCCTTGAGGATACTTCATTTTATTTTCTACTCGAGAGCTGTTAATAAATCACTCTCCAGCTGAGTACAGTTCAATGCTAGGGCACTTCGCTTATCTGACCTTCACATTAATTATTTTTCTTACACCAGCAGGAACTTGCGTCTTCTTTTCCCCCTTCCCTGCAAAGCCACATGGCCCCAGCAGACCCAGTTCTCTCATCATGCCAAAGGGGGAGCTCCTTAAACACTCATGTCGCTTACAAGTTCTCTCAAACCCTAAGTTCCATAGAATCAATAGATTTAAGGGACTCGTTTGTGTCTGAATGTTTGGAGATGTCATTACAATTCTTACAAAAACTGAAAGTGAAATGAGGAAGACCGATTGAGCAATCGGCTGGAAGTGCGGATGCCAGGAAGACCTATTGCACGTAGGGGCAGAGATGCAGCCCTGTGGGGAGAAGAAAATTCAGGAGAATTCTCCTGAGGGCAAGCGCCAAGCTGGCCGCTGTAGTCAATGTAGGACATCAACAAACACAGATAACAGGAAATGACCCGTTCCCCGTGGTCACTTATTCTGAAGACCCAAACCTTCAAAGTCCAAGGAGTGAAATGAATGACTCCACAGAAGGGAAGCCGGCACGCCTCTCTCCTGGTCTGAAGAGAAGAGAAGAAATGAAACTGAAGGAGTATGTCTCCATCCTCCCCCAGAAGGAAAGCCCCTCTGCCCGGTTCTCCAGAGATGGCTCGCTGCTGGCCTTGACCTTGCTGCTGGCCCTGGTGTCCTGCTGCCTCACGGTGGTGTCCTTCTGCAGAGTGGCTGCCCTGCAAGCGGAGCTGAAGAGCCTCCGGGAGGAACTGCTGGAGCACCAAGCTGAGCAGCTGCCAGGCCCTCCCCGGGCGGGAGCAGCAGCCCCCAGGACAGCTGTGCAGGAAGCTCCAGCTGCCACCTCGGCACTGAAAGTAAGTTAGAAGCAGCTGAGCTGGTGAGGCCTAGGCACAGTTCTCCCCACGGTGCTGCCTCTCCTTCCTCAGACACCTTTGCCATAACCTGGGTGTTTTCTGCTCTTAGGGGATCTTTGCACCACCAGCTGCACAAGAAAGTAACTTCAGTCGGAGCATCAGGAAGAAGCGTGCCATTCAGGGTCCAGAAGAATCAGGTATGTCTGCGGCACAGAAGCCTTTAGGGATCAGAGATCCCAGCCTCCACAGGCGTGGAGGGTAGCATTGGTTTTGGGGAGTGAGAGGTGGACATAGCCTAGAAACTGCGAACTTTACCGTCTACACCAGATGTGGCTTTCCAGCAAGCCCGAGCACCGGCAGGTTTAATAGGCTGCACAGCAGGTTCTGTCCTCCAATGAGCAGCCTGTGTGCATAGATGTATTTGAGGAGGAAAAGGGGGCACATATTTCTCATCAAATAGTTTACTCCTGTGTCAGAAGCATTGCCCATCGCTCCAGAGAAAAAAAAGCACTTCATGTTAGCGTAGAATTGGTGTTTGTCCACCTGGGCCATGGAGTTTCAGCTTCAGACAAGCATTTCCTGGGGGCACGCTGTGAAATCAAACGAAGCAGGTGTGTGTGCTTTATTTTGTTTCGTGCCTAACAGAGTTTATTTTATACACACATACACACTGATTTTAAAGCTTCTCTGCAATGTATACATATCCGTGGTTTCTATCTTTCTTCATGTTCCACTTGTTCCATGGAAGTTTAAAGACTCCTGAAACCTAAGATTTGGTGGGACCTCCTAAAATGCTCAGTTTTAGTGCCTTCATAAAGATGAAGAACATTTGCATCGCGTTTACTAATAACACAGTTTAATAAACCCTTGGCATTATTTGACTTTGTATTGAGGAACATTTTTGAGCACCTAGAATGTGCCAGGCAGGGATGTCCTAGGATAAGTATTGTCACAGCTACTGTTTCCTTTCATCTTCACAGTGGCTGTGAGATAAACAACACGTGTAATTATTTATACATATTTGTACTTCTGAAGAGAAATGTGTGAAAGACATAGAGACTAGGTGTTCTTCTCTCAGACACACACACACACACACACCACAATTGATGCTTTGACTGTACATTTGTTTTTCACTAAATGTCTTATTTATAAAAAATATGTTTATTTCATAAAACCATATTTTTATCTGGTTATCATATATGTGTGCCAATTATCAGAAATAATTGGGTTTAAATATTTTAAAACTAGGAAATGTATTTATACTATACTTTAACACATCAATCATTTTCATATTTTGCATTTTATCATTTGTATTTTCTACATAATTGAAAAAATACAGCATTTATAACATGATATTTTTTATTCACTTATCATTATATATTAAGCATTTTCCCAATTGCTGAGTAATTCTCACACATCTATGTTAACTTATTCATTATGCAGTGATTTAACATAATAATTTCCTCCCCACCCCTTTTTTTTACTATAATGGAATACACCAAAATTTTTGTGCTAATCTCTTTTGTGTATGTGGAATTATATGATCAACATAAATTCTGTAGATGGGATGTCTGAGGATATTCATTTTTATCACCCTTGCTACCTTTTGCCATATTGTTTTCAAAATGAGTTATAAATGCAATTAAAATGTAGTGTACAAGTTCTCCACAGTTTTACAGCATCTTATTTTTTAAAACTTATTTTGGCTTGTTTAGTACCTGTAAAACAGTATCTCAAATTTAATTTGTTGTTTGCTTACAAATAAGAATTAAATTCTTTCCACATATTTTGATAATTTCTAATTTTATCTTCTGCTAATTGTTATTTATAACTTCTCTCATTTGTCTCTTCTATGTTTTATAACTTTGAATAAACTCTATATTAGACATATTGTGTATCAAAATTTTGATGTAAATATTTTCACAATATTGTGCTGCTATTTAAAACTTGTACAGAGATTTTGCATTTGTATATTTTAATGTGATAAACGTTTCCTTTTTGATTTTCTCTCATACATCAAAGCTAAAAACATTTATTAACAACCTCTTAGTCTACTCTATTCTCTGCTATTTTGACTTTTTTTATAACTTAGTGTTTTAATTTGATATTCAACTCATTAATCTTTCTGGAATTTACTTTGGTAGAATAAGTCATACTAGATTTGACTTTCCCTTCCTTCTATGTTTTCCTCCCAAACTGCTGCTAAATATCTCAACCAAATTTATTAGATGATATTTTTAACTTGTTTGTGATGGAAAGCTTACTTTATTATTTTAAATTCCTCATATGTAGTTGAATGCATTTGGAGACTCATTTTCATTGATTTGCAAATCTGTTTATCTGTATTAAATAAAACATTTTAAGTAAATGTAATGAGCTTCACTATCTAGTAGGATCAGGATGCCTCAGTCATCTTTAACCTTATGTGCTAGTATTCCCTTGATTCTACATATTAGTTTTAAAAATAAACCTTAACTTTACCATTGCAAAGAGGACATAGGCTCAGCAGACTTAAGAAGAAAAGAATAGAATAAGAAATCAATAACCTCTTGTTTTACTCCCCCAAATATTCTCTATTAATATTTTAAAACTCCTTCCATGTACATGTTCTTACGTAGTATATGTGTTTTTATGGCACAAAAAAATTATATACTGATGAAAAAATGTCCTCAAATAATTTGCAATTTTTTACAAAGCTTAGAGAATAACAGAAAATTCTAACCAAGCGAATCAAAATTACCCAGTTTTCACAGTCCAGATGTGATCATTGTTGTCATCATGTTTTGCCTCCAATTTTTATAGACCTTTAATATAGTATACGGGAGGGGGCAAAAGTAGGTTTACAGTTGTTGTATGGAAAATAATACAATAAATAAACTATGTTTCACATACTCACAACTGTAAACCTACTTCACCCACCTCTGTATATAGTATATATGTGTAGTATATAGTATACATGTATATAGATATATCATGCATCTATATATAGTACATAGTATATATCTCTATATATCTTTATATCTCTCTCTGTATACTCATTAATAATCTCAGATGGAAGGTTTGAAGATAAGAGGCTTAGTGACAGGTTCTATATGCTATTCCTTGTCAATGAAATCTGCTGGACTGTTGTTATAGGCACTGTCCTTTTGTTTAGTACTACTCTAAAATGAATGAATATACCCAAGAATGTTGTCTGAAACTCTGATTTTGTTGTTGTTATTTGGTAGGATGGTCTGCAGATTGAGAAAATTATATGCAGATTGAACCTATTGAAACTCTGATTTTGTTGTTGTTATTTGGTAGGATGTTCTGCAGATTGAGAAAATTCTATGCAGATTGAACCTATGCAGCTTTCCTCATTTTTTTTGTTTCCATTCCAGTTCTGATATATTTTCAGGAAGGCTCAAAAACCTTTGGTTGTCCCTTTTACTTTCAAAGTGTTCACTTTTGTTCTTATTTATTGCTTTTCTATATACACTTTGGGATCATTAATATTTTCTTGGAATTTAAAACTGAGGAGACAAATGAATTTTTACACTGTTTAATTTATATATTCAGTAATGTTTAATATCTCTATTAAATACTGAATTTAATTTCCCAATAAGACATGAGTTTTTAAGTGTAGGTTTCACTATTCTTTCAAAGTTAATTTAAAAAAGTGTTGTTGCTATTCTGGAATCTTAGCATTTTCAAATAGCTTGTTAAACTGTTAAAAATGTACATCATTTAAAATAAATGGTATAGCATTTGATCTCATGCTTGTTTGTAAACCACAGCAACATATTTATGGATTTATAGTTAACAGAATTATAATATTATTTTTATTTTTTATCTAGAACTCTGCTTTCTACATATACTTCTCAATGACAATGTGTCATTATTTTTTAACTATGTCAAAAAGGTTCATAGCTAAATATTGCCAACTAATACACCAAAATGTTACTTATTCTTATTTTTTATAAATCCAACATAAATCTCATCAGCCACTGCAATGTTATTGTGTGTATATACCATTTATAAGTAAATTTTAGTGTGTTGGTCTAGAAAGCCCAACCTCCCCAGCACCAGCAAGCCTAGTACTGCCTCAGTATTTGCTACAGATTACATATCATCTAGGAAAACTGTCATCTATTCATTTGTATATGTCTGTCTGTACAACTAAAGAGTAGGAAGGTATGTAGTCTGGCTCCTTTTTCTTCTCCTGTATACTTATCATGGCACTTGTGTCTGTAGGTATTCTTTTAATATTTGTTGATGGATTTGGGCCTCAATCTGAAGCGAGAAAGATTGACTTGGAATTATTTTGCTGGTGGGATTTTTCCATGTTTCACTTAGAGTCCAAGTTATTAAATTTTAAACTTGCCATTTAAAGCAACTAATTAACCAAAGAATAAGCCTGATCACAAGGCTAGAGTCATGGGAGAGTTGGGAACCACTTGCCTCAGACCTTCTTGGTGCAGCAAGTAGACACCATTTGAACTGAAAACTTATGGAGAAGCTCCTATATTCAGCAACCTCTTCAACTAAAATTTTATGGATTAATGGTTTTATTTAATTTTTTTTTCCTTTTCATTGAGGTATTATTTACATACTAGAGGCCCAATGCACAAAAATCGTGCAAGAGTAGGCCTTCCTTCCCCCGGCTGCCACCACTGGCTTCCCTCTGGCACCCAGGACCCGGGCTTCCTTCACAGCCCCGGCTTCGTCGGGAAGGTTGTCGGGAAGGACATCCAGAAAGATGTCTGGTCTAATTAGCATATTATACTTTTAGTATTATAGATGATAAAGGGTTCATATTTCAAAAATATAGCTTGATGAATATTTATAAACTGACAGTAGTAGGTGAAGGGACCACCATCATCCCACACTCCCACTTGCTACTACTTCCAGTCCTCCCAGGGGTAAGTGCTGCTTTTACTAAATTTTAAAATTTGCTACTTTGGCTCCAGTTTGTTTTTCTTAATTATGTTGTATTTCAAATAAAAGTCTTACTAAGTTTCATGTGTTTCATAAGATAATTTCTGATTATAGTATAACAGCAGAAATGTGGGGAAATCCAGGATCAAAGAATTGCCAAATGGCTCAGATTAACCAAAAATTCACTTTTAAATCCCATAAAGTGTATTTGGAGATATTCTTAATTTTAATTTTTAAAGTGATTGCCTTTAAAAATATTACTCATTAAAATTTCTTCACA